AATGCTCTTCAATAGTCTTACTGAAAACAATGATGTCATCAATATAGACTAAACAACATGAATATTTTAAGCCAGATAGACAACAATTCATCAATCGTTGAAAAGTTGCGGGAGCGTTACATAAACCAAAAGGCATTGTAACATATTCATACATCCCAAAGCTAGTTACAAAGGCACTTTTCTGACGATCCTCTTTAGCTAGTTCAACTTGGTGATAGCCCGATCTAAGATCTAGAAGGCTAAAATATTGTGCACCTTTTAACGCGTCTAAAGAGACGTTAATATTGGGAATTGGGTACGAATCTTTTACTGTTATCGCATTCAATTTACGATAGTCTACGCACATTCGCCAATCTCCAGTTTTCTTACTAACTAAAACTACAGGAGAGCACCAGGGTGAGAATGAATCGACTATTATGCCGTCTCTTAATAACTCACTAACAGTTTGTTTTGTTATTTCTCGCTTTTGTTCACTCTGTGAATAGGGTGATTGGGCAATAGGAGCGTGGCTACCTGTTTCAATTCGATGAACAAAGAGATTGGTTCTGCCTAATTCTTGTGCAGTAACTGCGAAAGCTGCCCTGTATTTGTTACATAAATTTTGCAACTCGTTCTCTACTCCGCCAGGCATTCCAGTTTCGATGTTCAATGTTAGCTCGGCGCTATCAATTGTAGAAGTAACAGGTTGAACATCAATTATACTTTCAGAAATTTCCGAAGATTGGTTTGGATCTGGCTCAGATGAAACAAAGTCATTCAAGTCATAAAATTCGTTAGAGTGTTCAATATCAATGCTTTGTTCTATTTCTGTTGAATTTTTCTCTGAATCGTCATCTGTCGTAATTAACTCAACATGTTGTTCATCAGTACCTATTTTAATAGTCTTATCTCCGCAATTAATCTGTACTTTAGCTTCACTTAAAAGATCTTGTCCGATAAGTACTTTGAATTTTCGTGGTAAATGCTTAACAACTTGTAGTCTAGTGTCAATTACGGCAACTTTTTGACCATCTGTAATCTTCATCTGGACCTTAACTTTACCTAGGACAGGCAACGGTTTATCGTTTGCTGCAAATGGTAATGGACCATTATATTTTTTAATATTCAAGTTCAATTTTTCCGCTAGTTCTTTAGTGATTAGTGAGATCTCGGATCCAGTATCTAGCATCGAGTCTACTTTCAGATTATTTACTTTTATGTATTGCTGAATTAGATTCCTGTTTAGTAAATATACAACAGGATTAACTAAATACTCTTCTTCTTCTGGCTCAAAACAAAAATCAGATTCCATTTCTTCTTCAGAATCATCTTCATGGTAAGCTGTAATTCGAACCTGTGGTGCTTTACCTCTACCGCGGCCACGACCACGACTAGGTGGTCTTCCTCGTTTAGGTGAGGGTGATCTTTCCTTAGACCGACCTCGTCTAGCTGGTTGCTTAGGAGCTACAGTTTTAACTTCAGTTTCTTGCTGCGAAGTTGAAGGCCTATTCCTCCAATTTTCAACTTCAGCAGTATCTTTAGGAGCATTAGGAGGTTTTCGTCTAGCAAATGCACGGTTAGTGACTGCCGGATAACCTTGAGTATAGTTATTGTTGGCTAGCGCTGTCTGATAACTATTATTCGCTTGATTAATAACTTGTTGGTACTCTTGTGTAGGTTGGCCGATGTTCTGGTTGAAGTTACTAGGATACTGTTGAACTCCAGCTAATTGATTTTGACTGGGTGTAAAATTAGGATTAGCACCATACTGTTGACTGAAATCATTAGCTACTCTTCTATTGAAGCGGCAACGGTCATCGGTGTGACCGATTCTATTACAAATATTGCACCTTTTCGTAAATAAATCTAATCTTTCCTTTATTTGTTGTAACTGGGTTTGCAACTGCAAAGTTTCTCGATTAGGTGCGTCAAAAGGAGTAGAGCAACTATGCATCGCTCGTTCTGCTAATCTTGCATGTTCAACTAAGTCCTTTAGAGTTGTTGGATTTTTCAGACTAATGCCGTATTTAATTTGGGGTAACAGCTTTTCTTTGATCATACTAATTATGAAAACTTCAGGCGTTTTCTCATGAATTCTGCGGCATAATTCATGAATCTCATAAATAAAAGCAACGGCTGATTGTCCTATTTTCTGTTTAGCTTTGTAAAGCTCTTGAGATAAATAAGATCTATAGTCAGCTGGACAAAGATCTGCGATCATTCGTTCCTTAAGAGTAGTATAGTCTTTTGGAGGGTCATCAACAGATGTAACCGACCCTGAGATAGCATAATACCATCGTCTTGCTGTACCATGCAAATATGCTGGGACAGCATTGAACATGTCAGTCTCATTCCACCCTAAGGCTTTAGCAGCGAATTCGAAAGTAACAAACCAATCAATCACATTTTCATCATCATCTCCCGAAAAGAAATTTATGTTAATAGTGACACTTGGTAGAGAAATGTTGGCCGTAGTAGCCGCTAATACATTCTGTACCTTAGGATTAACATTGTTTTCGGGAGTAGCAGACGGATCAACTATTGAATTTGGCATCACTTTTTACTTACTGTTTTTAGGTGATAATCTTTAAATATCAAAGAAACCAGGTGGTATGTAAATACCGTCGAAGGAATTGATTCCAGTTAGACTTCGATCAGCAATTATTTTATTATTATAGTAGTACTTGACTGTTACTGGTTGCTGATAACGATATGCTGCGTGATTTCTTACGTGAACCTTTACTTCAATTATTTTGAAAGTTTCTTTTGGGTTTGTCATTTACTGAAAACCAACTGTTTATTATTGCTGCTGATCTAGATCAATAAAAATATAAACAATTTTATTCCTGGTAATTTGCTTAATGATAGTACAATTTTATGGTTTGTTTATTTGAAATGTAAAGTACTGATGGTTGAAACGAAAATAAACTGATGTTTACGTAAATGAAATCGTTAAGCTAATTGCTGATAAGATAAGTAGTTTTTTTTTTAAACAGTTAATGTATGTAACCAGAAGAATTTAAAATTGTGGTGAAGCAGTTAAATCTAGCAATTTTAATTATTGCGTCTATGCTTTATTATTTTAAGCGAAGTAATTTATTTGCGAATAATTTTAGAATAATAAACACAAGTTAAGATTGGTGCAATTACGAGAAAGAATGGGAAAGGCTTGTAATTAATTTTAAATTGCCAAGTTCTTTCGATTTGGATAAACAAATTAAACTTAGATGAATAATTGAATAATTTAACTCGGTTAAACACGTATTTGAATTTATGAGGGAAATTCATCGAAATAACAAACAATTGATTGATTGATTTAAAAAACCTCAGACGTGCAATACAGCCAATCTTCGAAATCTAGGATTCGAGAACTGACCGAATTACAGCCTAATAAATTGTTCGGTTTTAGGTTTGTTCTTATCAAATAAAATTTCAAACAATCTGTTCAATTTTTCTTGAGTTATTCCAGTCTGTAATAAACAACTCATTAATTTAATTTGCTCGACCGTAAATATATCCATAATATTGCATTAGAACTATGAACAGAAAATTAAATGATAAAATAGAACTAAGTTCAAATTATCATAGTTAATTCCTGCAGCGTCAATTTCGTTCTTGTGGTTCAAAACATATAATACTGTAATCTATTACTGTTTTATTATTGTGATGATAAAACACTATTACTGGTTGGTGATTAACGTACCAGGGGTGGATTCTTAGTGCAGTGCTTATCGGTTTGATTTTTATAATATGGTTGTCTTTACTCATTTAGTTAACAAGATAGTTATACCGCTCAAAATACCAGAGTTAGCAATGTGTTCAATACGCTATATGATTAAATGTAACAATTAAATGAGATAATTTTGCATTATTTTCGTTTTGGACAAAATAATATGCAACTGAACTGGGTTCAATTTCATAAAATCTTAGATTCTTATTGTTAGTAAATGATGATTCCAACCAATAATAATAGAACTGGGTTCAAATTATTGATAGGATATTAATAATTGTAATTTTAGGTTGGATTACTTAGTATTTTGAATGCTGAATCAATGCAACCAATGTATTGTAGCACAACAAATTATAGCAAACTGGGTTTACTATTAAATGGTTCAAATGAAATGGTGAATTTGTTTTTAGCAAAGCAATAATTAGTGAACTGGGTTCACCAAATATCTTTCCTCTAAATGAATAAGATTTCAAATGATAATTTTTCTTTGGTGTTTCGGTTTGATTCGGAATCAGTATTTTTTTGCTTAATAAGGAGAATTAATGATAAGCTGATAGCAATAACGAATATCGTTAGTAAAGCAGAATCTAAAGCAGATAACAAATTTTAACTCGATACTTGCGTTCTTATTTAGCCACAATCAAGACTTCAGGATAATGGATAACTCGATTTGGAGTTTCTTGATTCCTTTTACTTATGCCAATGAAATGTCTTTTGATGAAATATCAGGAAAAAGATGAATGTCTACAGTTGAATCAAATGTTTTTAACCGTTGAGAAGCAGTTATTTTTTTTATGAGAAAAATGTCCACCAAAACTTCACCAATTGTTATAATTTTTATGAGAAATTCACCACTATTTATTGATCAATTGAATTAACAATTAAAATTTCACTTTTTCAAAAAATTTCACTTTTAGACAAGAATTTAACTTGAACTTGTTCAAAAGAATTTTAGAGATGAAATCATTGAGGAACTTAATCTACTCGGCATCTCCACCAACTGAAACTCTTTTAAAGGGAGTCTAACTCTTTATTTGCATTCTTTAAGCTTTTATATTCAGCGTAACCCATCTGGCAAAACCAATGGGTTTACAGAAGCAATTTGGATAAACATTGAAAATATGCATAAACATGAAAAGCAATTAAATTAAACCATTAAATCTATTTTCGTTACAGGGATCAATATTGTTTATCGTCCGACTGTAAAAGCGCACTATTTGGATACTAATATTATAGTTTGTTTGAAGTCATGTTTTGCTAATTTTATAGTAATGACAAATTTTAATTACAGTTTGCGAAAAATGGAGTAATTTGATTGCTGATCGGACTAAAAAAGTTAAATATTTTATTGGTAAGATTTTTAAATTTTCATTGATGCTCCTTTTTGAACATTTTCCTAATGAAATTTATTATCACTTTCAGGCCGACCAAAATATTTGCCTGATTCTGTTTCTCAACAATCAAATAAGCCAATCGATGTAGCATTTTTGAGCAAATGGTTTCCAAATTTAAGGGTAAGTTGACAGACACATATTTTTTCACTTCCATTGTTTTCTATTTTTTATACAATTTTATCATTACAGTTTATCGAATTTTCACGCCCATTTTTTGAAAAAACACGAAAGAAAAATAACGTTGAACTATCCACAGACGCACCGATTGACGCAGACGATTTAGCCAGAGCGTTTCAAAATATTGTTTGTTGACAGATTTGATATTTTTTATTCGATTATATCCCGCTTTGAGCGTTTTTTATAGTTTTTATTCAAATTTTATCATAACAGATGGCCGACTTAAAGTCAAACTTAAACTTATCTCTAGCTCAGGAAAAATCACCAATCGAAAAACTTTTAAGTGACTCAGAATCTTTGAAAGGAATAATCTGTGGGGAATATTTTAATTTCAAATCGATTCAATTCGAACCGCAAAAAGCTAACCTCGAAATGCTAACTCTCGGATACATTAATCCAAACAGAATTGTAAGCAATGAAACTGTGAAACAATTGAACCTTTGGGACTCTACTCTAGATGCATTCAAAAAAGTGGCCCATTATTTTCCGAATCTTGAAAGGCTGAAAATTTCTAATTCTAAAAGTATTTTCATAATTTATTACAATTTCATTTAATATTTCAGTGACTTTACATAATTGTTTGTTAACCAACCCTTTTCATGTTTAGACAAAACAGATTTTTACTTTAATGGTCCAGTTATGCAAAATCTTAAGATAGTTGAACTGTCTGGGTCTTCTCGTCGTTCGCATTATATATTTTGTAACTCGTTTGTATTCATGGATTCGTGCCCAGCATTACAGAGTGCTCATATCAAAATTGAGCGCGGTCCCATTGCCACCATTTATTCAGTAAAAAATGCAAACTTACAAGATTTGGTTATACAATTAGTGAGTATGATTTTGCTTGAGATTCAG